AGTTTCTAATACTGTGTGACAGACTACCATAAACTCAGTGGTTTAAAGAAAACCCACAAATTTACTATCTGCCATGGTTTGGATGTGTGTTCCCTCCAAAACGCACCTTGGAATTTAAATGTCAATGTAAAGGTATTAGAAAGTAGGGCCTAATGGGAATGTGGGGCCTAAATGGGAGGTGTTTGGTTCATAAAGGCTTTGCCCTCAAGAATGGATTGATGTTGTTATTAAAAGGGTTTGGGGAGTGAGTTCTTTCTCTTGCCTTCTACCTTCAGCCAGAGAGGGCTTTTGCCTGCAGAGAGATCCCTCCTTTGCCAGATGCTGTTTCCTTGATCTTGGACTTCCCAGCCTCCAGAACTGTGAACTAATCAATTTCTGTTAATTATAAATTATCCAGTCCAGCAATTCAATAGCTAGCTAGATACATGGATGATAGAGTTATGGGCTGAATTGTTTGCCACCAAAATTCATATGTTACAGTACTAAAGTACCTCAAAATGTGAGATGGAGTATTTAAAGAGGTAGTTAAGTTATAGTGAACTCATTAGAGTTGACCCAAATGCAATAGGACTTGTATGCTTATAAGAAGAGGAAATTTGGACAAAGGTAGAGAGGAAAGACAATGTAAAGAGACAGGGGGAAGACAACCATTTACAAGCCAAGGAGAATGATCTCAGAAGAAAACTCTGCTGACAAACACCAGTCTATGGTACTTGGTTGTGGTAGCCCTAGCAAACTAATGCAGATAGATGCTGGATAGATATAGATAGATAGTTAGGATTGAAGGAGGCCCACACCACATTCCAGCTTACAGGTTTTAAATTAGGAGCTATGAACTTCCATAACTATAAAAGAACTGTGGAAGAAAACATTAGGTAAGCCCCTACCACAGTTCAGAGAAACATTGTCCAAGTCAACGAACTAAATGCTAAAGGCCTCAGCCTCAAGCACCAAAGTGCATAGTTCTCAATGGGTCACTGGAAAGCCACTGAAATTTCAAAGAATTTCTAAGGAGGTGTTATGGGCTGAATTGCGTCCATCTTCCCCAAATCCATATGTTGAAATCTTAATCTCTTCCAAATGTGACTGTGTTTTTGAAATAGGCCATTTAAAGAAGTATATACATACATAATGAGCGAGATGTGCACCATCTGGGGGATGGTCATGCTGGAAACTCAAACTTGTGGGAGGATGAGGGGAAAAGGGCATTTATTGAAACCTTAAAATCTGCACCCCAATAGTATGCTGAAACAAAAAAAAAGAGAAAAAAAGGGCAAAAAAAAAATAAACATAAAAAAAAACTAATTAAGTTAAAGTGAGACAGCCCATTTACATGGGCCCTAATCCAATCTTATTGGAGTCCCCATAAGAAGAGAAAATTAGGAAAGATAGAGAGATCTCATGGGTGCGTGTGTATAGGGAAACGGCCACGTAAGGAACGAACCACAAGAAAGTGGCCACCTGCCACCCAAGGAAAGAGGCTTCAGTGGAAACCAATTCTGCTGGCACCTTGATCTTGGACTTCCAGCCTCTAGAACTGTGAGAAAATAAATTTCTATTGCTTAAGCCACTCAGTTAATGTGAAGCATTGTTATGGAAGCCCTAGCAAACCAATGCAGATGGGTGTTCAATTGCCTCAGTGAGAAGCAGGAAAGCAGATAGTTCTCAAGTTGGTTCCTGGCTTCTGCCAGGAAGCCAAAAGGAATCTAGAAAAAAATACAAGAACAAAAATACCTCTCCTTTAAATGACAAACTCACTGTCGGGTTAAACTCAGCCGAAGAGAAAAGGCGATAGCAATAGTAGGTATAGGAAAGAAAACTGTCCAGAATACTGCATGGAATGAAACAGGCTGCAAAATATGAAGGAAAAAAAAAAAGTAAGATACATGGATAACAGCACGTTGCTGTCTAATATTCTGCAGCAGATGCTATGGTGCTGTATCCATACCCAGTAGTCCTTTGGATTTCAGTGCACACTGGCTCCATTTCCAATGGATAACTTCTACATTGTTTTTGTCTGAGGTCTTTTTCTGGCTGCCAAAACACACTAGGCTGTCAGATGAGCTAGAAAATTAAACACACACACACAGACCCTTCCCAGGTACTACCCTCAAACCATGGCCTTATAGGAAATAGTGTGCACATACTCAAATCTTTCAACCCTGGGCAGGGTGAGGTCAGGCACAGGTTTTCACTGGTGTCCAATGCTCCTCAGTAAAATTAATCCCAGTTATCACATGAGGTACTGTTTCAGGAGGAATGTATGAATGGGCTGCCTTTCCCTTCTTACCTTATTTCTCTGTTCTTCTGTTGGACCATAAAGTTATAAATGTGAAAGTAAAAACTCTCAAGCTTTCAGATAACAATGTAAGAGAATTGCTTAATAATGATACATTAAAAAAGAATTTGTTAACAAGATGCATTAACTATGTTAATAAATTATTATGAATAAATAAGTTAATGAATAAGTAAAATGAGAATTCAAGTCATAATCTGAAAGATTACTACAACACATGTAAAGAAAAAGATTAATATCCAAACTTAAATATACAAAAAAGTTCATAAATCAATTTTAAGAGATTATTCAGAAACTAAGCCAAAATATGGAAGAGAGACTTATAAAACATAAATCCAAATGGTTAATACAAACACAAAAAAGATTTTCAGACTCATAAGTAATCAGGTAAATACAAATTAACACCAAAAGAACGTTGTATATGTATACTCCCCATAGTGGCAAATATGCAAAAGTCTTCAAACTTTTTGCTAAGTATGTGGAGCAATGGGTACTCTCATATACAAATGGTAGGAGTGGAAATAGGCACAGCATTTTTTTTTTATTTCGGCATATTATGGGGGTACAGATTTTAAGGTTTCAATAGATGCCCATTTCCCCCCTCCCCCCACAAGTCTGAGTCTCCATCATGACCATCCCCCAGATGGTGCACATCTCACTCATTATGTATGTATATACCCGCCCCCCTCCCCCCTCCCACCTGCCCAATACCCTATTACTGTAGTACCTATATGACCACTTAGGTGCTGTTCAGTTAATACCAATTTGCTGGTGAGTATATGTGGTGCTTGTTTTTCCATTCTTGGGATACTTCACTTAATAGTATGGGTTCCAGCTCTAACCAGGAAAATATAAGATGTGCTATGTCACCATTGTTTCTTAGAGCTAAATAGTACTCCATGGTATACATATACCACATTTTATTAATCCATTCTTGGATTGATGGGCACTGGGCTGCTTCCACAGCCTTGCAATTATGAATTGTGCTGCTATAAACATTCGAGTGCAGGTGTCTTTTTTGTAGAGTGTCATTGGATCTTTTGGGTAGATGCCCAACAATGGGATTGCTGGATCAAATGGTAGAATCACTTGTATCGCTTTAAGATATCTCCATATTGCTTTCCACAGAGGTTGAACTAGTTTGCAGTCCCACCAGCAGTGCAGGAGTGTTCCTCTCTCTCTGCAACCATGCCAGCATTTATTGTTTGGAGATTTTTTGATAAAGGCCATTCTCACTGGGGTTAAGTGATATCTCATTGTGGTTTTGATTTGCATTTCCCTGATGATTAGAGATGTTGAGCATTTTTTCATATGTTTGTTGGCCATTCTTCTGTCTTCTTTAGAAAAGTTTCTGTTCAAGTCCTTTGCCCACTTTTTAATGGGGTTATTTGATTTTTTTCTTCCTGATTTTCGTGAGTTCTAAGTATATTCTAGTTATCAGTCCCTTATCGGATGCATAGGATGCAAAAATATTCTCCCATTCTGTAGGTTGTCTGTTTACTTTCATAACTATTTCTTTGGCTGTGCAGAAGCTTTGTAGTTTGATCATGTCCCATTTATTTATTTTTGTTGCTGCTGTGACCTCTACAGGGAGAACTATGAAACACTGAGGAAGGAAATAGCAGAGGATGTAAACAGATGGAAATCCATACCATGCTCGTGGATCAGTAGACTCAATATCATCAAAATGTCTATACTACCCAAACTGATCTACAGATTCAATGCAATACCTATTAAAATCCCATCAGCATTCTTCACAGATATAGAACAAATAATTTTAAGCTTTGTATGGAACCAAAGAAGACCCCGAATATCAAGAGCAATTCTAGGCAACAAAAACAAAATGGGAGGCATTAATATGCCAGATATCAAACTATACTACAAAGCTGTAGTAATTAAATCAATATGGTATTGGTACAAAAATAGGAATATTGACAAGTGGAACAGATGTGAGAATCCTGATATAAAACTATCCTCATATAGCCATCTAATCTTCGACAAAGCAGACAAAAATATACGCTGGGGAAAAGAATCCCTTTTCAATAAACGGTGCTGGGAAAACTGGATAGCCACCTGTAGAAGGCTAAAACAGGACCCACACCTTTCACCTCTCACAAAAACCAACTCACACTGGATAACAGACTTAAACCTAAGGTATGAAACTATTAGAACTCTAGAGGAAAAAGTTGGAAACACTCTCCTAGACATCGGCCTGGGCAAAGAGTTTATGAAGAAGTCCCCAAAGGCAATCACAGCAGCAACAAAAATAAATAAATGGGACATGATCAAACTACAAGGCACAGCATTTTAGAATAGTTTGGCATCAACTAATAAATTGAAGAAGCTCACACCTTCATCACAATAGTTCTGTCCTAGAGGAATTTTATGTGTTTAAATAAATAGCATCACCATTCACAATAGTCCTAATTAAAAAATATATATCAGTTACACATTATATAAATTAATAAGTATCATGTTTAATTGTCATGTAAAATTCAAAAAAATTACTTTGTTTGTTGCGGCATATTTAAAAGATAAATTTTAAAAAGTTCAGAGAAAACGATAAAAACAAAAGGTTTATATAGTAGATGATCATATATATTATGATATACCAATAATAATATTATCAATAAATATGTGAATAAATGTCAGCTTTTAAAATAATGACACATGTATATTAAATTTCATTATTTGTTCCTGAGAATATAAGAGCATCAATTGCCAGATTTGTAAATTAAAGGATGCATTGGTTAATAGGGCAACTCCGATAGCAGACATCTTAAATGAAAGTAAGATAATTTCTTGCTTTGAACTTTCCCTTTGTATCTCTCCGAATTCTATTTAAAATAACAATCTAATTCCAAGTTAAAAAGGGAAAGCACATTTCACAGCCTTATATAGAGTTTATGCAATTTTGTGCATACATAAGCTGATATTTAGAGGGAAAAATCCATTATCTGTATGTTTTATCAAGGAATCAGGTTCTTGCATTTGGCTTTTAACTCCCTGATGACTGGGTAAAGACTATTTTCTTGGTAGTTTGCAGATGTTATTCCACCACTATCTAATTTCCATTGCTCTGACAGAATTGGCTAGATTTTGCCACATTACCAAACCTTAATGCAGTACATGTTTACACACTCTTTCTAAGTATCTATGTGGATAAGTATGCGGGTTGGCAGGGGCCCTTCTTATCATAGGGATGCAGACTGATGGAAGCTTTAACACAGGGTTCCAAAATCACCACAACGAAAGGATGGGAGTGTAGCAAGTTATGCACTGGTTTTTAAAGCTTCCAGCTAGATCTGTCACTCATCACTTCTGTTTATATTTTATTGGACAAAGAAAGTCACATAATCAGTCTAACTTCAAAAGGGCTGAAAATGTTTAAATCTTCCATGTGCCTAACAGGAGAATTAAAATATACATAAACAGTTCTAATAACTATCACTATAAATAACTTGCTATTTCTGTCTGGAAGCCTGTACATTCAGGAATTTAATCAGGAAATAACTGCATTTATCAACCTTTGCTAGTACTTAATGAACATTATCAATCTGCAGACTCAAGACTTTTATTATATGAGAAAAACACGTTCTATCATTTCCTTAATTGTTGTTCTCCATCTGTTTCTTTTTCTCCTCTTGAAAGTTATTTGTATCTCATCTTCTTTCTGTCTTTTTTTTTTAATCCCAATTTTAATATCTTTATATTTTGGTCCATTTTGAGTTATTTCTTCTACTTGTTATTCCAAACCACTAATAAAGGTGACTAACCTATCCTTCGAATATTGATTTTGTTGTTGTTGTTTGGTTCCCAAGTCTTGGCTTTCTGTTAGCTTTGTATTTGTTTCTTCAGTTCCAGAAGTTTTATTTGCGTTACAGTTGAATCTTCTTTAGTGCTTTTACTATTTTTTTTTTCCAGTGTACTCTCTCCCCTTAGCTGTTCTGTTTCATTAGGAGTTGCCTGATCAATGTGTTTTGCTTGTATTTTCCACTTGGCTAGTGGGTCTTCTTGGATTTGCTATTATCATTAATCTGTTCATTCATATTTTTAGCCTGCTCACTGTAGTTGCTGGGGTAACTTAAGAGACAGCAACAGTGATTTATTCTTCTTTTGTTGGGCGTTTACTAGCCATAACTCATCAGTGCCTGGAGCAGGTGGAAGGCTACTCTCAGGAGTCTTCTAAGTGGCAAAGGCTGGAGGTTTCTCAGTTCAAGAAACACGGTACAGAGCATGAAGGACTCTGTGCCAAACTTCATCCTCTGCAAGAGCCCTGAAAAAAAGGTTCCATTTAGTATTTGCAACACAATTTTTTCACTTTAAAAAATTTAAAGTAGTTAAGACCTTAAATCCTCGAAGTTGTCCAGGTCTGGAGAAGTAAATAAGTACATTTCAAAGGCAACCTGTATAGATCGTCAGATTGTGGCCTTTTTCAATCATGTAAGAATTGGAAAGTCACAGAGTCTGATATTTAATAATAAAAACATAAAAATCCTCTCTTCCTACAACATCAAGTAGAATTTGACATTTTGAATTTCTAATAGTTTCCTTAACTTACAGAAAAAGGAATTTATCACAAATATGACTAAATATTTCTTAATATTTGTAACTATTATGTAGGCTATATTTCTTGGCTGAATATTTTGTTCTTTTTTTTTTTTCCTTTATCTTTCTAATTTATCCTTCTCATCCGAAAAGGCTAAAAGCCTTTGATACTAGTTATGAAAACTAGCTTTCTTCAGTATCTAACAAGGTTTACATTTATACAAATAAACGAAAAGACCAGAACTCAAAAGGAGATGGGTGAACATGAAATACAGAGTCCCTCATCCCACTATATTTCAGAAGCCTCAGCCAATGGAAGAAATCTTTCTGGATAGAAGTTTGCTAACTTTTACACTAGTTGTTTTAATAATAGATAAGTATAGCCTGTCTACATACTTCTTGGAGCTTAAGTTAGATATAATTTCTTCATTTCCTGTTTTAAGTAATTTTTAACAATTGTTAAAAAAATTCAAACATCTGCTCCATTCCATTGAAGAGGTGGCTGTGTTTTATTGTAAGTGAGGCAGTCTGTATGTTTAGTTTACCTCTTATGTGCGTATATTCTGCACGTTGATTTGACATAAATGGGGCTATGCATTTAGATCATACACTTGCGAGCCATTTGCAAAGTCTAGAGAAGTTTTAAAAAATGTTAGAAATTTAAGATCATAATGTTATTGTGGCTAAAATGATCATCTACGGAGATAGAATGTTTCTGTATGATTCAATGGCTCTAATTACTATCTGCGAATATAGACAGGCAGCTACTTGTCCTGGGAGACAGAAGCTTTCAGAGCATCATGTCTCGCTTGTTTTTGAGTCACACGTGGTTTTCATTCTTTTGGCAGCTGCTCAAGCTTATTACTACATAATTGGCACCAACAGCTGCCTCTGCTGTGTAAACCATATGAACATCACACAATCCAGGATCTTACCATCTCATTAAGTATTAGCACACTTTTTGTGTAATGAAGTGTGTAGGCACAAATAAACAACCCAAAAACTATTATGGAGAGTCTTATGATCTTGGATTCAGACCAATATATTTCCAACAAGATTCTTTTCAATATCTGAAGCTGACACACCACCAAAGTTTTCTTAAAGCTATGTATGTATTGTATATATATATATATTTTTTTTTCTTTTCCACCTTGCATTGGCTTGCTTGGAAATGAAAGGAGAAAATAAATTTCAAGAATAATTAAATAAGCTAACAATATGATTATAAAAGAATTTAACTTCTGCACTTGACACTTAAAAATTATGAATCTGTCTTTACCTTGTAAGCATAATTTGAAATGACAAACAGAAAAGACATAAGGCTAAGTGGAGCTTTATCAAGATAGTGCCTTAAGGCATATGGAGTTTTATCTAGTTGATAATAAGGTGAACTGAAATCTGTAATTTAGAAGCATATCTCCTTCTGGTACTGTAAACCTAACATTTTATCCATCTGCCCTCTCAGTGGTATGCAGACCTTTGGCCCATAATAGAATTCACCTTAGGTATGTCGTTAAAAAAAAAAAAGAAAAATCAAAACAGCTGTTCCTCTTAATGACACCACACTAAATGTTTAGTAAGCTTAGGAAATACATTCTGGCTGACAAAGATACATCTAGAGTAAACAAGACTGTTTAGTTTTTTGCACCAAGTAACTCTACTTGATCATTAATTCATTTATTCATTCACTTCCACACGTCTGTATCAAGTGTCCTTAAGGTTACTGTATTGTGTTATGTGACATTATAGGATGTGTGAGTGGAATAAGTGATATTACTTACTACATGTGTATTCTAATAGGGATATAGGATAAGAGGATGAATGTAAATATAATTTGTATAAGTGTAAATATGAATAAATTAATATATAAATGAATGAGTACATACTTTATCATTTTAGTTGCTACTGCTGCTGAATTTAGCTGTAACTAGAAAACGAAATAAAACAAAAAGGGTTTTAATTCTCTTCTTTCTTGAAAACATATATTTTTATAGCTTGATTTATTTACCTGATAACATTGAAGAAACAAAAATTTTCAATATACTTTCAATATCTATTCAATTACATCAAGTCTACTGTCATGTAAACTCTAATCATCATGTCTGTATTAAAATCCAACATGGTTCTGGCCCCTTTACCAACCTATTTCAAATTTCTCAAGGGTAGTAAAATACATCAGCTTTCTAAAACATATCTTTTCTATCATGGCTTTTTTTTTTTTTTTGGAAAACTAGAGAAATATCTATTTTTTCTTAACAACCTTGCTCCTTAAGACAAAGTGTTCAGAGGATCATATCTTATTAACGTAAACTCCTACACTCAAAACTCACACACACACACAAACTCACTTTATATCCTCCTAGATTTGCGTCATCATTTCTAGATGGCATTAGTAAACATTGGTTGAGTGATTAAACTTATCTGTCCAAAACAGAATCTCTGTGTGTGTGTCTGTGCATGCATGTGTCTGTGTACCTGTGGTTTAAATTTGGTACTGTTAATTTACATATATGGAAATAAATTATTTCACAAACACATTTTTACCTTTGTGACAGGTGTATACCAAACACTGATGAGAATAACTAAGTCAAAACCTTTAAACTCTAAGACTTCATATTCTTGCTGGTTAGAAAAATTTCCTCTGTTCCTAGTTTGTTAGAATAAAAAGAGTTAAAAACAGTTTTGTAAGTTAATGAATGTTGAATTCTATTAAAGTTTTTCTCTGCATCAATTGAAATGATTGCACAGCTTTTCTTTTTTGATTGATTTTCAAATGTTAAAGTAAGTCTTTCATTACTAAAATAAACTCCACTTGGTTACAATGTATTATTCCTTTATTGATCTATTTGATTTGCTAATATTTTCTGAGAATTTTGCAACTGTATTTATGGAGTCTATTTGTAGTTTTCTATCTTTGTAATGTCTATGTCTGATTATGATATCAGGATAACACTGAACTCATAAAAAAAGTTGGAAAGTATTCCCTTCCATTTTATTTTTTGGAAGAGAATATGTAAAATTATTATGATTTCTGTTTTAAATGTTTGATAGAATTCACCAGTGAAACCATCAGAACCTAGGGATTTTGAGTGTTTTAAAACCGATAGTTTTTACCTCATCTTGAATGAATTTTGGTAGTTTGTATCTTTCAAGGATTGGTTCATTTGATTTAATTTTTCAAATACATTGCTACAAAATTGTATGTCATATTGTCCTATCATAGTTTTAATATCAACAGGGCACATAGTGATGCCCTTTCTTTCATTATAGATGATAATTATTATGCTACAATATCGGTAATGTGTGTTTTCTTTCCTTTTCTCTTCATTAGCCTTGTTAGAGCTTTAGCAATTTCATTGATCCTTTAGCAAAATTGCTTTGGGATTTATTGGTTTCTGTATTTATTGATTTCTGTATATTTGTATTTCAGTTACATTAATTTTTGCTGTAATCATTACTGTTACATTCTTTCAGCTTATTTTAGGTTTATTTTGCTCTTCTTTCTCTGATTCTTAAGGTGAAGCCTTAGTTTATTGATTTTAGATCATTATTATTTTTATATATATGCATTTAATGCTATAAATTTTCCTCTAAGCACTGCTTTAAGTATATTTCACAAATGTTGATATAGTGTATTTTCATTTCTATTTAGTTTAAAAGATTTTTTCACATCCCTGAGATCTCTTTTTGACCCATGTGTTTTTAAGAAGTGCATTATTTAATTTCCAACTATTTTGAGACTTTTGAGATACTTTTGAGATACTTTTGAGATACTTTTCAATTATTTCTATTTCATTCTATTATGGTCAGAAAGTATGTTTTCATAGTATATATTTTATTAATTAAATGATTACTATTCATTTTGCTCTTTATCCACATCTGAAATTATAAGTTTTCTTCTGGAATAATATCTAATTAGCCTGAGGATGCTTCTCTTAGCATTTTTTAAGGACCAGTTTGCTAGTGACAGGTTCTTCTAGTTTTCTTTCATCTAAGAATGTCTATCTTTATTTTGCTATAACTCCTAAAGAATTATAGTGGGGCAGATATGGAATTCTGGGTTGAAAAAATTGTTCTCTCATTTTCATAGTCTGTGTAGAAGTTTATCAAATTTAAAATTAATCTGATATCTGCAGTGGTTCCTATGTCAGTTTAATTTTCAAAACCTTTGCTGTGCTTCTGTGGGTTGTTCCATTAATATTTTGTTATCCCAGACTTGTTTATGCTCATAGACAGAATTATGAAGTTTTCTTCCCTATCTCTCTGCATTCCAGAATTTCCTCATGCTCTCTGTATCTAAGGGCTTCTTACCTAGTCTGGCCAGAAATATTTTCCATTCATTTGTCTCATCAGTAATTTAGCTTCCCACACTGCAATGCAGTTCCATTCTTCTGGAATCATTCAGGGTTAAATGACATGAGATAACAGAGGGAACAAAAAACAATGGAGATTCTCCCCAAATCTATAAACCATGAAGTCTCCTTTGTCTAATTTCTCTAGCCAGCAAAACAGGTTTTCTCTTGAACTTTTAGGTGCCTGTGACATTCTACACCACTGTGACTCACTCTCTTTTAAAATCTTCTCCTGTTATGGATTCAGGAACATTTCCCTCTTAAGAATTGTCTTTTCCTTCAATAACTGCTTCAGATCAGTCTCTTTAAGTGGCACTACTGTCAATTTTGTATCATTCTTCTATGGTCTTTTCTATTTTCCCAAATGTAATAAAGT